AACTACCAGTTATAAAATAAATAAGTTATGATAGCTTAAGAAATAAAGTAGTCAATAACATTGTAATAACTTTGAATGGTGATAGATGGTTGTTGGACTTATCATTGCATAATAAATTTGCATATCTGAAATTAATATAACATACATATACCATACTTCAGTTTTTTTAATTAACTATTAAATTTGAGATGTGTGATTTTGTATATACAACTATGTATAATAACATTTATTTCAGTATATAATAATACATGTATATGATAGTCACATATAATAATGACTATACTCAGGATAATTAGAATTATCAATACTATTTAATTTCATTTTTTCTCTCCCCCTAACATTCTACTGAGCCTGTATATTTTAATTTATATAAATTTAATGTACTTACAAGGCAGTTTTTTCTATAACTATCAACATGGTTGGGAGAGGCTTCCGGATTCTTGGGTTGTTTTGTTATTGGATCTCTGATTTAGGAAATAAAAAATGTGGACTTTTTTTTTATTTAATTTTTTTTATTATACCTTCTTTCATGCCATGGGTTATTCTTTTGCAAAATAGAAAACTATATGTAAGACATAGATTTTGAGTCTCAGTTTCATTTGATAGGTCTTGTTTAATTTTTGTCCCAGAGTTTGCTAAAAGTTTTCCTATTAGGTTTGAATTTTTTGTTATGTTTTCATATTTTTGTCATGTATCTACTCACACACACATATGCCTTTCCCTTTTTTATTCTATGGAAAGAAATTAGGAGATGATGCATCTGAGGCTGCTGAATAAATACAATATTACTAGGTGTTTCTGTATTATTTAATAAGTATTTATTTGAGGAGTTGTGTTCCTTAAGTTTGTGTAAGGATTAACTTCCACATCTGTACATTCTTAATAGGATTCTTAGTAGGGATAACTGTGACTATATGGATTAAGTATTATCCATGGGGAGGGTGTCTTCATTTGATTCCTCTGTCACTCTCTCATGCCAAATGCATATTTTCCCTGACACATTGAATGCTCAATGTGATTAGCTAATGTTACTTTCCTATTTAGCAAAAGGATAACATTTTCAATTCTGCCTCCGTTAGAACCTGATCCTCATATACCAATTTAATGAATCCTTCTGTAGGAAGTGTATGGATGGGCCTTTGTTCCAACCAGGGGCAAAATACTGGGTTTTGAAGCTCTGCTGGAAATGGTCTTCTTCTCAGTCTTCCAGTGACAAGATTATGATCATAGCTCAGTACTTGAGATGAACAAAAGAAAAGCCCAATTGATAAATAGTATCACTGGTTATCTAAGAACTGTGCTAGCAGAGATGGTTGAGATATGGTCCTCATCCTAAAGAAGCTTCCATTCTAGTGTGAGAGTGAAAGTGAGAGTCGCTCAATCATGTCGGACTCTTTGCGACCCCATGGACTGTACAGGCCATGGAATTCTCCAGGCCAGAATACTGGAGTGAGTAGCCTTTCCCTTCTCCAGGGGATCTTCCCAACCCAGGGATAGAACCCAGGTCTCCTGAATTGCAGGCGGATTCTTTACCAGCTGAGCCACAAGGGAAGCCCAAGAATACTAGAGTGAGTAGCCTATCCCTTCTTCAGCGGATCTTCCTGACCCAGGAATTGAACCTGGGGGTCTTACACTTAACCAAATAGCTGACATATGTGTGAAGAGAACTGTAATAGAGAGATGAACAAAATAACAACCTGACACACACATGAGATGATTAATTCTGCTTGGGCAGCAGTCAGAGGAACAATCAAATAAACAAAAATCCAGTTCACCATTGCAGGAAATAAAAGGGCAAAAATATTGTGAGAAAAAAAAAGATCAGCAGCAGAAACAGTAGTAAATGGAACATAAACTAGTTTTTGGAAATCTGATGAAAGAGCTGAGTTCTGAAAGATGAATATGAATACAGGCAAATACATTCCCAGGTGGAGAATTCAGCATATCAAATTTGTTTAGATGTGAAAATGCTCACTCTGATCCAAGAAAAATAAATTTTCCACTATGACTTGTCTTGGGGTGCATGCTTGGAGTGTTGGAGGTGAAGTTAAAGACTAAGAATGGCCTCCTAAGTCAGACTGTTGATTTTAATATTTGTCTTATGGGTGATTCAGAGGTGCAGAAGAATGGTATGGTCATATTTATGTTTTAAAAAGAAAACTGGCAACAGCATAGGGAACTGAGGCCAAGAAAACGGTTGGGTATAATTTGTTCCTGCCAGCTAAATGTAAAGCTTGCCTTCCATTGTTCATTGATTCTGGAATAAGTTTAAGGCAGAGGAGGAAATAAAAAGAAAGAAGGAAAAGAAGAAAGTTAAAAGAGGAGGACAGAACTCTCTGGAGTAGTTTATATTCATCAATAGTAGGAGTGAGGAAGTGAAGCTTCTGTTCCTTTATCTTATACAGCTCTACGGCATCCCAAGCCCGAAACAGGAACTACCTACTGGATGCTGTCTCCTGGTTTTCTTTTTTTTTNTTTCTCTATCTGTCTCTTATATCTGATCTTGTCAATAAATTTTGACTTTTTTTTTTTCTATTTACTTGACTATGCTGGGTCTTAGTTTCAGCATGAAGGATCTTTAGTTGCAGCATGCAAACTCTTAGATGCAGCATGTGGGATCTAGTTCCTTGCCCAGGAATTGAACCTGGCCCTCCTGCATTGGAAGTGGGAGTCTTAGCCACCACACCACCAGGCAAGTCCCTAAATTTTAATTTGAAAAGAAACCTTTTTTATCATTCTTGCTGTCATTACCAACACTGGTTTCCAGTTAAAACCGTTAGCACCTAAATGAAATCCTGGAGGTCTTATTTTCCCTCTTCTTTTCGAATGCAGCCCATAGACAATCCTCCAAAAGCTCTGCTTTTATCATTACAAGTCCCGCTCACAAGCTTAATTTGGAAGTGTGTGTGTGTGTTAGTTGCTCAGTCGTGTCCGACTCTTTGCAACCCCATAGACTGCAGCCCACCAGGCCCCTCTGTCCATGGGATTCTCCAGGCAAGAACACTGGAGTGGGTTGCCATTTCCTTCTCCAAAAGAACTACAGAAAGAAAGTGAAGTCGCTCAGTCCTGTCCGACCTTTTGCAACCCCATGGACTGTAGCCCACCAGGGTCCTCCATCCACGGAACTTCCTAGGCAAGAGGACTGGAGTGGGTTGCCAGTAAGAACGAAAGTCAAATTCTCAAAATAAATTTTAAGACTCCTTCCTACTTACCATATGAATACTCTCATTTCCTGCCTTTGGTCATAGTTTTTCTCCCACAAATTCCTTTGAAATCTTCACTCCTTCCTCTATACGAATCAGAATCCTTTTAACCCTTCAAATTGTTCCAAGTTCAGCTCAAACTATTTTTTTTACACTCTTTTTGGTGGGTAAGGAAAAGCTACACTTTTGTTTTGTACCAAGGTATGAAACTTCACTGTGAAAGTCCTCATTTCTTTATGTATATTATTAACCTGAATGTTTGGCAAGTTCTCAAAAATAGTTCAACAGTCTGATAACTCAAAAATGTGAATGTTATTTAGTGCAATTTGACCCATATCTACTGTATACCTACCTTATATAAAGGATTATGTTAACCATTCTCAGGATGTCAGTGCTACAGGATAAATATGTCAAATGGCTGCTCTCAAGGAGAACAGATTTACTCATTAGAGGACTATTTCCACTTCAACTATATGATTAGTAATTTGTGATTTTTCAAATAAGATTCTCTCCTTTCATTGAGTTTGTGAGTTCTATAAGTAGATGAAATTGTGATGGAAGTTAGTGTGTTTAAATGGCATACATTTCACCTTTCACAGCAAGAATTCAGTCTCAGTAGACATAGAAATGCAATCTAATCTTCAGTGTTAGACTATGTATTTAATTTTGATTGATTATATTGTTAATTATTCCATATGTCTTAGTGTACTTGGGGTGCTTCCCCCGTGGCTTAGTGGTAAAGAATTTGCCTGCAGTGCAGAAGACAAAAGATGTAGGTTTGATCCCTGAGTCAGGAAGATCCCCTGGAGGAGGAAATGGCAACCCACTCCAGTATTCTTGCCTGGAGAATCCCATGGATGGAGGCGCCTGGCAGGCTACAGTCACTGAGGTTACAAAGAGTCAGACACAGCTGAGCAACTACACGTTAGTATATTTAGGCTGCTATACAACAGACTGGGTAGCTTGTAAACAATAGAATTTTATTTCTCACCGTCCTGGAGGGTGGAAGTCCAAGATCGGGGTCCCAGCATTGTTGGGATCCTCTTCCAGGTTGCAGGCTGCCAGCTTCTCACTGTGTTTTCACATGACAGGAGTAAGGGACTTCTCTTGAACCTCTTGGTGAATCTCATAATCTCATTTGTGAGGGGTTCTCCCCTCATTACATCCCAAAGGTCCCACCTCCTAATACCATCACATTGGGGATTAAGATGTCAACATAAATACTGGGGGGAAAAATAAACATTCAGGCCATGGTACCACGTATATTAGAACAATTGCCTTCCTCAGCAGCTAGAAGTTTGGGAAACTATAGTGCATCCTTTTTCCACACCATCCTTATACAAGTATCTGTACTGTTTTAAGATTTTTCTGCTAGTAGTTTTAAAGGAAAGCAAAAGTAATCTCTTTCAATTATTTCACCTGACAGGAAAATTTAACAAATGAATTACGAACAGGGATAGTTAGAAATGGGGTGCCAAAGGGGACTGTCTGTAAGGAGGCAGGCAAGCCTGATAAAAATTTAAGACTAAATGTATAATCATGTTACCCCTGACATTTACACCAAGAACCATTGGCCTCTAGTACTTTAAGCATAAATTATAAGGAAATCGGTTAAAAGAAATCAATTCCACTAGACAGGAAACACAGCTTTCCAAATTATGTGAATTTTATCCCAGAGGCACTTGAATATCACAGGGAAAAATAAAAGATTAAGCCTCACAAGAAAGTAAAAGTACCCTATGTTATAATCTTTGGCCAATACGTTCTAATTCTTCTTTTTCATATCTTTAAATACAGAATCCCCTTCACCTCCAACTGAGTTTAGAAAATTCATTAAGTTCTGATGCTGATGTCACTGTCTCAATCCTGACCATGAACAACTGGTACAATTTTAGCTTGTTGCTGTGCCAGGAAGACTGGAACATCACCGACTTCCTCCTCCTTACCCAGAATAATTCCAAGTTCCACCTGGGCTCTATCATCAACATCACCATCAACCTCTCCTCCACTGAGGACCTCTTGAGCTTCCTGCAGGTCCAGCTGGAGAGCATTAAGAACAGTACACCCACAATGGTGATGTTTGGCTGCGACATGGCAAGTATCCGGCGGATTTTCGAAATTACCACCCAGTTTGGGGTAATGCTCCCTGAACTTCACTGGGTACTGGGGGATTCCCAGAATGTTGAGAAACTGAGGACAGAAGGTCTGCCCTTAGGGCTGATTGCTCATGGAAAAACAACACAGTCTGTCTTTGAGTACTATGTGCAAGATGCCGTGGAACTGGTCGCAAGAGCTGTAGCCACAGCCACAATGATCCAGCCAGAACTTGCTCTCATTCCCAGCACAATGAACTGCATGGATGTGGAAACTGCAAATCTCACGTCAGGACAATATTTATCAAGGTAGGATGCAAGGCCTGGGTTATATCCCCATTCATAGGACTGTGATAGGAAGTAAAATATTTCTGTAGTGGGGAACACTCAATCCTGTTTTTAAGCCCGTGGCTTAGTCCCATACTAGTTGTGTGTTCTTGGCAAGTTTTTTTAAAAAAACTCTTGAGTCTCCGTTTTCTAATTAGTAAACTAAGATAATATTGAATGTAGCCTAATATGATAAAGAGACCACAAAATTATATACAAGAAGTTCCTAACACTGTGCTCAGCTCGTAGTAAATGCACAACAAATGTTTCCATCCCTGCTCACTCTTTCCTGTATCAACAGACTTGGACAAATCTCTCTAAATCTTTTCAGAGAAAAAAAATTTAGTCAAGGAGAAGATAGACTTTTCTCTCTACTCCCAAGTTATGATGCATTAGAGAGAATAGAGAAGTGGTTAAAGACATAGACCCTGGAGCCAGACTCTCTGAGATTGAATTTTGGCTCTGTGACCTACTATTTGCATGACTTGGTCAAGTGATTTAACTTATCTGAGCCTTAGTTTCCTATATCCTATACCCACTGATGTAAAAAGGATTTAATAATAGATCCTACTAGCCATGGAGGGGAGAAGGCAATGGCAACCCACTCCAGTGCTCTTGCCTGGAAAATCCCATGGATGGAGGAGCCTGGTAGGCTACAGTCCATGGGGTCGCTAGCAGTCAGACACAACTGAGCGAATTCACTTTCACTTTTCACTTTCATGCTTTGGAGAAGGAAATGGCAACCCACTCCAGTGTTCTTGCCTGGAGAATCTCAGGGACGGAGGAGCCTGACTTAAAGGGTATTTTACAAGGACCTAGAATTTTTTCAGAAAAAGACCACCTATAGTCAGACAGGTCAAATGAGAGGATTATTGCTGTTTCAGAAGTGAAGGTTTAGCTATATATAGTCTGTTCCCATTTTCAGGAAGTCTTCTTGAAACAGGATCATCTGACTATGTTGAAGAGCCCAAGGCAATCTCACAGTGTCTTGCCTTTTAAAAGACATGAACACTTGAGGAAAGGTCAGAAGGTCCCAAGCATTTTACATTTAATTTCACATTAAGCATCTGCTATGTGCAAAGCAACATGCTAAATGTCATATATGTGGCATAGTTTAAGCACAGCCTAGCTTCCCTGGTTGCTCAGTCAGCAAAGAGTCTGCCTGAAATGCGGGAGACTTGGGTTCACTCCCTGGGTTTGGAAGATCCCCTGGAGAAGGAAATGGCAACCCAATCCAGTATTCTGGCTTGGAGAATCCCATGGACAGAGGAGCCTGGTGGGCTACAGTCCATGGGGTCACAAAGAGTCAGACATGACTGAGTGACTAACACTTTCACTTTCACCCTAAAGAGGTTGTTAATAAAATAATTTAAAATTAACTTATTAGGAATCTATTAATGATAAAACTAAATGTTCTATCATCATCTGAACTTTCCACTTTTCCTATAATATATTTGAATTGCCTCAAGATTAAAGTCTATGCGTGTTTTATTTTATAGCCACTATCCAGATTTAATCTACTGTTTTGGAACTAGCATGTAATTGAGACTCAAGATTTTATCTCGGATAAGAAACATCCTCCTTCATAACAAAAACACAAGCAAGTCTTTAGCTATAATTTCAAATAATCATTATTTTGGAAGGACAATCTTAAACAGTAGATAGAAAATCCACTTGTGAAAACTATATTGTTATTTAATGTCTTTCTGTCTCATATAAAATGGAGAGCACAAGAAAAGTAATTCTGTTGGGAGCCTAAAAATGTTTAGAAGCTACAGAGAGAAATATTTGTTAACTTCAGTTGTATACATATCAGGGGTTCATTTTATCAAGATAAAATTGATCTTTCTGGCTCCTCAAATTTTAGTTTATCCAATGGCACTTTGTACATGAAATTATGTGATGGTACTTAGCCCATTCCATCAGCATTGTTTGTCTATGTGTCTGATTTCTGAACTAAAATATAAATTCTATTAAATTGAGACACTATTATTCAATCTAGTTTAATGCCTAGTGTATAGAAGCTACCTAATAGACATTTACTGAAACAAACATAGAAGAAGAAAAGGAGATTTTATATTTACACCCTACATAATCTGTTGCTCTAGAATAATGAGTGGTTAATAGATAAATAGAATTTTGTCTAAACTAAAAACAGAGTTTTTAAACTTACCTAGATACCATCTGGTTTTTTTCTTTTCTTTTCTTTTTTTTAATAGAATGTTAGGTTAGTGAATAACCTCTGGCCTTGTGGCTATTTCCACATGTTTATTACACAGACTTTGAAAATTGTAAAAGAAGACTGTGAGGTTAGGGAGCCTGGTAGCAATTCACAGTGTATGTGGGTCAGCAACAATATTTTCATCTCCATGGATGTGTTTGAGAATGAACTCAAAGAACTTCAGGAAATATCCTCAGAACCTCTTAAACTCCATGAGGAATAGAGTCAAAGAAAAAGTTTCAAAATGCTCAGGAAAGGGTCAAGGGAAGTGGACAAAGCCCTGGAAGGAGTCTTTGTAATGAATAACTGAAAAGCTGCCTTAAGCTGTAAAACATCTGTGGATTTTTCATCATCCTTATTTATTTTGTTGAATATAGTCTTTTGGAAAGTTCGTTATTCTCAGTCCATAAGTCACATCTGCATACAGTAATTTTCTTAATTGTTCCTAAATTTTGTGAGGCTGACCCTACTTCCTCACTGCATAATGAAAGTCACAAGCATAATGAGCCATGAATAGCAAGTGCCAGAGTTATGCAAGCTTTCATTTCTCACACAGTCATTTTCAGTTTAGGCTGACAGAATTGTTAACATTTTAAAATGTTAATGAAATCACCAAAAACATGACTTTTTCAGCATAGGCCTTTAGACTAGGAAAAAATCATTTCTCATGGCAGACTATATAGACATAATTACAGGTAAAAGGGATTTGATCCTTCCCAGGTCCCCACATGCCAGAGCAAAAATCCATCATCACTAAATGTAGACAAAAACCACTTGGGGACCAAATTCATAGTGTGATCTTTAGCAATTTATTTGCAAGTTGTTTTTATTAAATGTAAATCACTTTGAAGCAATGATATCTGATGTATTGTTTGGCAATAACTTCATCAACACATATGCAATACATGTGTGAAAGTGAAGTGACTCAGTCGTGTCTGACTCTTTGCAACCCCATGGACTGTAGCCTACCAGGTTCCTCTGTCCATGGGATTATCCAGGCAAGAATAATGGAGTGGGTTGCCATTTCCTTCTCCACGAGATCTTCCCAACCCAGGGATTGAACCCCAGTCTCCTGAATTGTAGGCAGACACTTTACCATCTGAGCCACCAGGGAAGTCAGTGATTATTTGCTGAGCTAGGGTGAGGCAGACAAAATAAAGGGCTGCATCCTGCCATTTTGGAGTATACAGCCTAGTGCATGAGGTTGTAAAGTAAGTAAATGTATAAAACAAAGGGATCTGTGATTCTTAAAAATAGAAACATATTCAGATACACAGGGAGGAAGTAATGAACTCTTCTCAGAGATTTGATGATGAGGAAGAAATCCTGGAATTGGATCTTGATAAAAGAATAGAAGTCTTCTGGTTTGCAGCAGACTCACAGGCACAGAAAATGGCATTGCAAATTCATGGAGATCTGAAGAAATTTAGTACAGTTGGCACATCCATTGCCTATGAAAAGAATCTGACATGATTCTGGAAAAGTTGTTAAATTGATAGCATGCCACACGGGACTTTTATGCCAAGGAGTTTGCATTTTATATGCATACTGGATGTCACTTGAAAGCCAGAACATTAGCCATGACATATTTTTAAAATCATCATCTTGTAACAAATTAACCAAATAAAGTATCATAGCATAAAAGTCTTACAAGTAATTCTTAAAAAACCATAAAGATATAAAAATTATTTTTATTTCTCAAAATTGGTTTTAGCTTTGCCCACATTTACTCCCTTATCTCATTCTAAACACCAGTCTCATGAAAATGAAGAGGAATTGAAGGACTTGCCTGCTGTTCCTAGAATTAGGATTTGCCCATGCTCATCTGAAGGCCCTGGGTGGTAATGAATCTATCTTCCCAGAGGAAGAACCCCTTGAGTCACTCATAACCTGGTCAAAGAGAGTTAGCCTTCCTTTAATAATTCCAAGAGCCTAGACATGGATTGATACGTTGTTCCCCTTGGCATAAGAAGTACCTGACTCTTTAGTTAATTAATCATCCTGATAGCTATTCTAACTTCTCAGCAGGCTATGGAATCTTATCTTTCTTCTTTGAATAGCTTCTGCAGTTCAGTTCTGTATCAAGTGATTAATTCATTTGTTCATCTACAAGCATATATTGAAGCTTACTAATATTAGGCTAGGACCTTGGCTAATGCTGAAGACACAAAGAATAGAAAATAGGGGCCCTGCTTCCAGGAAGCTTACAACCCCCTTCTTTCGTTCTTTTAACAAGAGACAATGTGCTCCTCTGCTTATCCATGTTTTTTATACATTTTCTTTGACCTAGCTATTTGGCGGTTGTTATTGTTGTCTAGTCACTAAGTCATGTCCAACTCTTTTGCAACTCTGTGGACTATAGCCTGCCAGGCTCCTCTGTCCATGGGATTTCCCAGGCAAGAATACTGGAGTGGGTTGCCATTCCCCTCTCCAGGGAATCTTCCTGACCCAAGGATTGAACCCACATCTCCTGATTGGCATCACTGACTGAATGGATATGAGTTTGAGCACACTCCAGGAGATAGTGAAGGACAGGGAAGGCTGGCATGCTGCAGTCTATGCAGTTGCAAAGAGTTGGACATGACTTCACGACTGAACAATTCTTTACCACAAAGCCGCCAGGGAATTCTTTACCACAGAGCCACCGGGAAAGCCAGCTATTTGGTTATCATTCCTCACTGAGACCACACTCATTCTACTAGTGATTATCTTCTGATATTAGCTGGCATTGTTATGCACCTCCTCAGCTGTCCTTGAAAAA